ACTCTCTCTCATGACCTGTCCGTCTTGGGTGGCCCTGCACGGTATAGCTCATGGCTTCACTGAGTTACACATGGCAAGCCCCTTCGCCACGACAAGGCAGTGATCCATGAAGGGGACACCCAGTTTAGTTTCCCTTAAAATCAAGATTTCCAACGCTATTGCTTTCTTCCAGGCTTTCTGCTACTGCCACTTCCCCCCCCCCACCATTGTTTAGAATAAAATTAAAGAGAGTAGATCCCTTTGTGCCTTCTTCTACCTTCTGAAGGAGAAAATTGTCACAAAACAGGCCAGGAACTTGCTAGAAGGACCATGCTTGGCAGAGTTTGTCTCCAAGTGCATGTCAGGGTAGTTAAAGCCCCCCATCAGTTACAACTTAATGCCTCTCTGGGAGACATCTAAAAAGCATCATCAACATCTTATCTTTGATTTGGTGGGCGACACAAACCACAATATTGCTTTTATTCTTCCCTTCACTAATTTTTTAAAAAGGAAAAGGATGTTTTGAGGGATCTCAGCAGTCCATCGCCCAGGTAATCCTAGAAAACTAACCTCTCATGTTGACCCCGTTCACCATGAAAGTCTGTGGGTATAGACTTGTAGCAATTCTTGGTGGCATCATCAGTCTCCATACTGATGAGCAGGAAAAGATACCTGTCAGGGGGCCTGGCAAGCCTTGGCAGCCATCTTCTGATCTTTGCTCCCAGAAGACAGTCTGCATATACTGTACAGCTGGCACAGGGTTGTTTCAGTATCTTCTTTTGCAGATAATAAGTGCGCCCCTTCTGCAATACCAGACTCTCTTCTCCTTCACTGGAGATTCAAAAGCCTTCGAGGAGTTTCTTCTGAAAGCTGTTTTTGTTGACCTGTCTTGTTCACTTCTTTGAGGAGAGTTGCTTCCTCTCTCAGCAACTTCTGGAGCACCTCCTTGGTTTGGTCCAAAGAACCCTTCATCCTCTCCCCTGAGCTGAAACATGGTCACTTTGCTTCAATCTGCTAGACTTTTCTTCAAGCACAGCAGTGAGTTTGTCTTTGATGCAGACAAATACTTGTTCAGTTTCAGCCAGGAGGACTGCATGTCAATTCCATCTGCTTTTATGCCTTGTACTACCCACTTGGGGAACATTTGTTAGCGTCCTCCCTCTCAACCCTCTGTGAGCTTGCTGGCCTTGTATCTAAAATGAGGAGGAGATTTGTGGCCCCTTGCATCTTAATCCTGATTCCAGGATTAACTTTCTTGGAGTAAATATATCCACTTCATAAAAATACAAGGAGTATTATTTTAAGAGGGAGAGATTCATACATCGTCATTCCTGGTTTTTCTTTATGTTGGTGCGTGTGCATGTGAGAGAAAAAACAGTTAGGCAGAATACAAAATAAATTAAATGCAAAAGATATCTAGTTCCCTTACTGAGAATCAATCCCTTCCATCACCGAGAGTTTAATGTGAGGAGCTAAATCCCTTAATAAACTGTAGCTCAAGGGGCATTCATTGGATGGGATCCTTTGCCCCCAAATACTTTTTTCACCATTTTGGGGAGGCTTCATCCTTACTAGTTTCTCTGCTTTCTTTCTGAAGAAAGGAGCAGGTTAAAGGCTACTTAGTGACTCAGCTGAGTCTTTTAAGAGATAGCCTTGGGTCAGAGGTGAGGACTGCTCCACAGCATGTGGCCCCTGAGAGCCATGGGTGCATTCCAGAGACTGCCAAATGCTGTTACCAAACTATAACTTCTATTGTGACTGAGGAGTAACCATATTAAGTATGTTTAGCTTATGCAAGATGGAAATGAAATGAAATAATGAAATGAAAACAAACTTGTTTTTTCAGTGGCACCAACTATTAACTTTTGGGATGCAGCCCTTGGCCAGAAAACCTCACACACTCCATGCTGAGGGACAGAAGCGTATTTCTCTGTTGGCCAAGGCCAGGTCTCAGCTGCATCCTCTTGTGGGCACGTGGGAAGAGCAGCCGCTGCAAGAAGAAATAACTAAATCCGCACGAGAAGCACCTTTCTTCTTGCAGCTGTTGCTCGACCACCCTTGGGGGTAAGAGAGTTTAGCTAGGCTGCCAGTGGGCACCTGGTGGGCTCTATGTTTACCTCCCACCTTGCTGGCTCTCTCCATGGAGGGGACGTGTGCTGGGCTGACCTTTGGCTTGTTCTGTGACTAATTTCAGGGCTGCAGGTGTGATGGAGGCTGCACCGTGGCCAGCTGTCCCTGCATTCTGCGGAGCCAGTGCTCCTGGACCATCATGGTGAGACGTGCCAGGCTCTCCTCTTCTTGCTGAGGGATGTTACCGGAGTCTTTGAGTGCCAGCAGCCTCTCCTCCTTCCCTCATGATGCAGGATGGCCGACTCAGGCTGGACACCACTTACCCAGCCCCTGAGATGGGATCCCTCTACGAATGCAGCATGCTGTGCTCTTGCCCCCGCTCCTGCCCCAACCGGGTGGTGCAAAGCGGTCTCCGGTGAGTGTGCTGAGACTGCTTCCTGGCTCCTGCTGGGACATTGGGGTGGCGGGGAGCCTAAGGTGTCCCTGACAAGCTTCAGGCTTCTCTTTGGCAAGCACTACAGTACCACCAAAGATCAAAATGTGTGTCCTGCCAGCTCAAGGCTCCCAAGAACCACCCTGGGCTGCTGTTTCCTCCCCTGCAGTGCCGGTTCACCTATAGGAGCTGGGGCTCCTGGTAGGGACCCATCCTGCCCCAGCTGTCCCATGACTTCTTTCTGCAAAGTGAGCCCTGCCTGGTGATCAGAGGCCTTTCCTGTATTTGCAGAACCCAGCTCCAACTTTACAGGACAGCTGCCAAGGGATGGGGGGTGCGCACGATGCAGGACGTGCCCCGTGGAGCCTTCCTCTGCCAGTGAGTTCTGGAGCAGGACTCCCTTGCCCTGCCCCCTGGAGAAGGAGGGGCTTGGAGGAGGGGGGAAGCAGCTAACCTCCTTCATTGCCTTCCCCATTCCTCCCCTCTCCGCCAGGTACTTTGGGGAGCTAATCTCCAACACTGAAGCTGCACGCCGAGAGGAAGACACCTACTATTTTGTGGTGGACCTACAGGTAGAATCTGCCTTACTTATGGGATGTGGCTAGAAGGTGGGGGGAGCTGGAAGCAAGGGCACTGCTTGAAAGGCTTCTAGGAAGGGGTCAATGCCAGAGCAGCTCTGACCTCACACCTTGTCTCTTGCAGGATGGGAAACAGTGCTGCCTCGATGGGCGCTACTATGGCAATGTGGGGCGCTTCCTAAATCACTCATGTCAACCCAACTTGGTGGCCCTACAGGTTGCCCTGGGATATGAGATCCCTGGCATTGCCTTTTTCAGCACACGGGCCATCCAGGCTGGTGAAGAACTTGGGTAGGTAGACTTGGTTCAGATCCAGTTGCTGTAGCAACTGAGAGAGCCAAAGGCCTCCCCCAAAGACTATGTTATGGCTGACCAGGAAAGGCGCTCCCAGGGTTTGTACAACATCGGGAGGAGGAGCCAGTTTTATTGAAAGGCATGAACGTTCATGAGGTATGCCTTTTAATAACATTTGCTAGTCAGGAACGGTTCTACTGCACTAGACCACTCCTGATTTTTTGCTGCCATAGGCTAACATGGCTCTTCTCCTACAGCGTCTACAAGATTGGTAGAGTTAAAGAAGATATTAAGGAGGACAGCTGCAGGTCCCTTCTCTCTGAGGAAGAGGCATTTGGGCGGGGAAGGGGGGCTCCAAAAATGAGGCCGTTTCTGGAGAAAGTGCAGTTTTGCCTGCAAAATAAGCGTCCTTGAAAGTTGGGCACAGCTTCCCCGCCGGGCCGTCCACCTTCGCGGCCGAGGCAGCCGTCCCTGGACTGGGGGGCCGGCCGGCTCCCCGCTTGCTGGGCGGGACTCGGGCGGTGGCAGGACAGCCCTGTAAGAGCTGACGGGCGCGCTCCCCCTTGCAGATTCGACTACGGTGACCAGTTCTGGGCGGTGAAAAG